CTGGTGGGGTTTGAAAGTCTACCAACTCGGCTCAGAACTTGGCTTGGAATTCTAGGGATGTCTATGAATCATCCGTTTCCTGAATCCCTTGGAGTGATGGGAGCGGGGTTACAGTATCGGTTGGGGCAAGGATTTTCGTTGCAGTCAAACCAAGTGTTGTGTTCTTCATCTGGATTGTATTTGGAATGAACGTCACACTGATCTTGAATATCAAATGCGTGCTGAAATCCTGAACAATCAATGTCTGGTGTAAACGAAGGCGTAATGGCAATGGAAGGTGGAGAACTGGGTAAGTCCAATTTCCACTCCTCGTAGGATCAGTTGGAAAGGCTGATGGTATGAATAGAGATCTTGACCTAATGTGGTGATGAAGGGGAAAGCACAGAGAAAGCACAGGATCAAAGTACAAACCGAAGTGAGGGGTGGGGCTAGCACCACACACAAAGGCTGAAAGATAAAATGATCAAGACAGCAGTGATAGCGCAGGGGCCAATCACTAGGGTCGCACAAGGACAACTAGTTCCAAAGACCAAGTAAGTATATTGAAGGTAAATGATGATACAAATACTAACCTAGTTCCAAAGACCAAGAGGTCAAGATGGGGAACTAGGTGTCAGCTACTGTACTATATATACAAGGGTTCAGATGAGTAAGTGACAGCACAGGAAGCTGATAGAAGTGTCTGGAATGTGATGGAAGGTTCTGACAAATGATAGATGGAAGTAAAAGGATATGGGAACATGGAGAAGGGTTCAGGTAGTCACGAAGATAGAGGAAAGAGGGAATGTAGGAGAAAACAAAGTAAGTACCGTATCCTGTATAGCATGTCACGACAATAACACTGCAGGACAGATCACGCACTCTGTATGCCTATTCTCCACAATAGACTGAAACAAACCCCAGCTTCTCAAATACCTTGTCACCAACCTTGGTTCCGAAAATATCATCCTTAGACTTCCATGGCTCTGAAAGGTCAACCCGGACATTGACTGGAGAGAAGGGTGATTGGCTATCACCCCTCCCAAAAAGGCTCCACACCCCATGACCATCGAAGAAGTCCCAGAACCCAAGGAAAGTAACATGGGGGGAACCACCTCACACATCATAGAAGCTAACCCAGACTGGGGCCCCACTTCAGCTCCACAAGTTCACTTCTCGATCCCGGAGCCTGACGACCAACCCCAATTGCCCAAAGAAACTCCTCCACTTCCCACACCCGATCCAGAGATACGTGAATACACTGAAAGCACACCTCTGTATCGACTGGTAGGCAACAGGAAGTGAAGGAGGGCAACTTGGACTACTATGATGCTGCTAGCAAATCAGTTATTTTCGGCAATCAAAGTGGAATGATTGTCATAATTCGTATACCCGAGGAGGTTTTGCAATGGGTGCATGCATAAATCAGAATACTTTGTTACACACAAGCAATCCAAGAAAACAAAGGATATATGCACCACCTCATGAAGGTAATTGATGTGCAACAGAAGAGATAAAACACTGCTATTTGTAAAGTTTTACTCAGAGGGAAAATGTGGCGAGAACTATCTTCTTACACGGTTGTAGGTATTAACAGTAGTATTTTTCATTCGAGGTTAAATGGTGGACCCAATTGAGTGACCACCATTTTACTTCAGAGGAAGTTGAATTGTTCGATGCAAGTGAGAAAACAAGTTTTTCCTGATACTGTCCCTCGAAGAGAAACTTCATAAATGGCAGTGTGTAGAAGACAGTACATATATACAGTAGTTCAATTTGTTTAAGCACGCGTCGAAAACGACGGATCCGCGCGTAAACATGATTTCCGACTTGATGTTTTGGAAACTCGTGTGTCCCTAAACACCAACGTCGTGCTCGCGGTCGTCGGTAAGAAGAAAGAGTTGATGAACAACGGCATCCGGAGTGTCGAAGGCATCATGTTCACCTGCATCGATCGAGGCCGACGTGGCACCATGATTATCATTGAGAAAACCATGATATTCGTTGACAGAGGACTCGATATGCATCGTGATCAAGCCAAAAAGGTGCAGACTCGTCAAAAGGATTCCCTTCAACAGCCAGAAATAAGCCACGACAATGATCGACGCCAAAGCCGGCGTATGCAATTCGGGCATGTCCAATTTTCCAGTAAGGGTGGAGGCAGTCGGTGCAAGAATTATTACTAAATCATGTACAGGCTTCGATGAAATTTGCGCGGGGGTGTTGTGTGAGGAGAGAACACTCTCGTACGCTGGGTAGAGCATTTTTGGTTCCAAGGAGCAAGTGAGGGATCCCCAAAAAATTCCGTCAACGCAAGGAGTGTTGACGAAGTCGCAGATTCTGGAGCTCTTTTCACATGGCACTGTTGGCTCAGAAAGTGGGTAGATATCCAAATTAAAGGGGACTGTGGCGGGAGTGAAGACCGGAAAAACCAATGGCCCGAAGGTGGTAAAGGTAGGGGCAGCGCTGGGATCCACGTTCTCGGGGGCATCAGCAGCAATCGAACCAGCATTCGCACTAATCTCTGGAATCGTCAAAGGGCCTTCAGTTGGGGATTCAGATCCACTAGGAGTAAGAGTCGACTGGGAAGCTACTTCACGCCGCTTCCTGGGCCTCGGGATGTAGTCGTGCCGTCGTTTTCGATGGCGGGTTAACGTAGCGGGGTCACTGGTTGCGAATCCACATATATCAAAGTCCGGACAAACGATGCTCTTCTCGTTGGTGCTGTCATTCCTTCTAAGTTTATAAATGGATCAAGGATACGAATTACTCACTGAGTCCTCAAATGAGTGTTGACGTTGGATTTCTGTAGATTGGCGAAGTTGCAGCCATCATAGGGGCATTTATAGGATCTATGTAAGTTGTGGATGTATAGTCAGGCATTGTGAAAGCAAGGAAACCGAATACGTGGCGTACAATAAATCTTTCGTCGCTGGGTCTAGATGGATTCGGAGATGCCTGGATAGGTCGCCTCTGCGCGCGAGGATTACATGGCACTCAGGACACTCGCGATTGCTGCCGTCGCTAGAATTCTAAGGAGTACAAGCATATGTTCAGTCGACTAGTACGGGAAAGAGATGATGCTCACCGCCGCAACACGAGGCATTTTCTGAAAACTGGTAGGGAAAGGCGAGGCTTGAGGCGCGAGGCTCTAAACTTCGTGGCAGATCGAAGACAAATTGATAGGAAGAGAGAGAACGACGAACAACAAGAAAGGCAGGGAACAAACGCTGCTCAGCGATAGAAGCGATGAATTGGTGGTCTAACGGTGGTCTAATCTCGAAAGAAAACATACCCTTTACGGATGACCAGATAATTCGATCCAAGGGTCAATTCTGATCCAGAACACCAACTCAAGGTAAATCAACCTTGGTTTTGAAGGTTTTTTTTTCCTGTTTGTTCCACGAGTGGCACTAATGATTTGACCCAAAAGGGCATATGACTCAAAAAAAAATTGAAGGGATTGTCATTGTTTCGTATATTCTTCATCAGATTTTTGAGCCGAACTGTCAAAGGTCCCATGTCTTCCCTCTCAGACCAACTCACAAGCCCTTTCCTTGAACGTTTGTGCTGAAAGCCCTCAAAGTACTCGATTGGGAGTGCGAAAAGGATCATGCGCTGAGACCGTCCGGGCGATTCAAGGAAAATATTTTGTCAAAAAACGCCATTGTTCTCTATTTCGATCAGCAGAATAAGGGTTAAAAAATCACGATCACGATTTACCTATTCAACTAGCGCTCAGCTGCCACGCACTAACTTCAAGCTTTCCAAAACAACGATCTCCTGATTTGATCCACCACCGATAACGTACAGGAAGAAGTAGATTACTTACCCCGCAAAGGAGGAGTAGAATTTGGCCGTTTGGGTTGAGCAACTAAAGCCCTCGAGAAACAGCCAGCGTATCATCTCCGTCCACCCTCTATCGTCTCCGCATCTAACTCTCAGAGTCGAGGCTGAGGCTCGTCACATCTCTAGGTCGTTTAAGCTCGAACTACAGGAATGGAAAGGCTATTCTCCGTGCAAGTGGGAGGGTACCTGTACTGTAACATACAGGTGGGCACGCCGAGACACATCTCGACACATGCCAGGTGCTATCTCTGTGGATAAATCAAGGGGGGGATCTTGTGAATTCCTGGGAGTACTAATGTTTCACCGAGGAAGACCTGGCTCTTTGAGGGGACAGTAATCCGCGAGCCTCGATCATGGATGAATAGTGAGGCCAGTGAGGGTGAAGAAGCGCATGCTCATCGCATTAGCATTTAAATACCATGAAATCCAAATTGTCCAGACGTTAGTCATGCCCTCGCGGCCTGCACCAGTTCAAGGATCTGGGCGTTCCAGATCTCTACTATCAGCGTAGATGTTCTTCCAGAATGCAGGCACTGAATGTGTAAGCAATACCCATGAACTTGAATGCACTTTGGGTTAGGACGACGAAGTCTAGGTGCCAGTGGAACTACCTCACCGTTTGATTGCAGATAACGAGCAAAAATACAGGTAATCTGTCGTACGCCAGCGTTATCCAGCTCATTGCTCTTTATCCTGGTCAGGAAACCCGACAGGGGAATCTGACATTTGGTAAGCAAGCATTCAAGACGATTGAAAACGGGAAGTAATTCATACCGGGAACAGACCAGGTTCGCTTGCGATAAATTATTTGGAGATCGCAAATGCACGGGTGGCTCGAAGATGCTTTTCGAACAGGCGATATCGGAGTCGTGTACTTAATCTATGTTGAGATATGATTTTTTGGAAACGAAAGAACGGATGAATTTACGGTGGGTCTACGGTTCTTGGAAATGTGTAAGAACGACCAGAGAACAACCAAGGTATGAATGGACATTCAGCTACTCACACCATTCCTAGATATAGGACCAAGAATATTCTCTCCTTCTTCAATATCCGGCCTCTTGTATTATTGCAGAAAGATGTATAATTCAAGCAAACGCGAATGGCTCTTATGTAAATCTTGAATCAAGGGTAACCAAGGATTAAAGTAAACAGAGAGCTGGCTTGAGTATGCCCGCCTAGCTCAATCGGATAGAGCGTCAGACTTTTACAGTTAGGGCAAACTATTGAAATCTGAAGGCTGCGAGTTCGACCCTCGCGGTGGGCTATCGGTTATATAATCTTATTTCAACCCCGGATTCTTTTTATGGTCTTTTTGACGCACCATCGACCTGTCCTTTATCAAGAGACATAAACAGTACAATTTCTTGCGCTGGAACTTGGTGAAGAGACATTTAATGGAAAGTACCGTACTGATTAGCAAATGTTTAGTAGTACTGTGTCATTTCGTGAAGGGAAGGTATGTTGTAGGTGTACGAAAATGCGCATTGGAACGAAGGTAAACAAGAATGCTATCGAGATGCGAATGTGGTAAGGACTACATGCTTACAGTAGGTATAGATAATGCGAAAGTGAGATAGATGTACGTATAGTGATGTATGAAATACACAGTCGAGGGAGGGTGGAATGTCCTTGTAATCGAAAATCAAGAAAGGGTATTCGATGAATCCAGCTCATCATTAGTTACTGCTCTTCCAGTATTCTGCATCAACCGCCGTAAACGAGCGAGCTCCGCGGCAAGTTGTCTACAGCACAGATCAATTATCAAGTGGTTGAGGGTCAAATTAAGGATGAAGGTTTACCTAGCAGTGTCACTATCCTCCTCGCTATCCTCCCCATTCTTCTCTATAGCCTGTTTTAATTTATCAATCTCTTCCGTCCACCTATCATCAATCTCCTTCGCCTTCTTCCTGTCCTCTTCCCTCAACCTCTTCACGTCCTCCTCGCCCTTCCGACTGGCCTGCACTTCCTCCACAAGCTTCCGATACTTTTTTCCCATAACCTCCGCTTCAACCTTCCATTTCTCTTCCCGCTTGCGAATATCGTCGCGTAGACGACCAGTGTCCGTTTTCCATGATTCTGTTAGATGTTTAAGACTCTCCCGGAGAGTTATATACTCTCGTTCTGATTTCTGTGAGAGGGCAGTAGATTCAGCAAGGGCTAATTCCATTTCCCGAAGACTCTTTTTGGATTGGGAGGTTTCGGTTTTGAGTTGGGAGCGGAGCTGGGTGGCTTCGGATTCTGCCTTTCGTGCGCGTTCGAGAACCTGGAGAACAAATTGAAGACAAGATAATGAATGGAGTAAAAAATACGCACTTCCTGTAATAATCTTTCCTTCCTCGCTACCACATTATTCAAGCCCTCATTCTCCAACCTCAATCTCTCCCTTCCCTCTTTCAGATCTTCCGTCTGCCTCGTTAGCGTAGCCACACTCCGCTGACTTAATCTCAGCTGCGCTTTCGTATTCTCCAACGCATTCCGTGCATTAATTACACCAGTTTGAAGATCTGCCAAGACTTTAGTTGTACCTCCAGGTGTAAGCGACGCTCGTCGATTTGTATTAGCGTTTGGTGATGGTGGTAGTTGAAGTGAAGGGAGTGTGGGCGACGTTAATGATGTATCGATAGTTGCAGAATGAAGAAGAGAGGAAGAGCTTGTCAAATGGGCTCCTCCTTCCTCAGCCAAAGCTCGGGCATTACCTGGGAGGTCAGGATATATAAGTATATAGATTAGGACGGGGAGTCGAGCGATAGACAGGATCCTGACACACCTACAGATGCTACTGGTATTCCTGTAAAATATTTTCCGGCTTAAAATTCCTTTTGTAACTGGAACGGCAAACAATACGTACGACTCAAAGTACGTGTTGGACTCGACACTCGTTTGTAGGCTGTTGGACTAGCCGTAGGCACGCCTTCCTTAATCCCATTCTCATCCAAGCTTCCATTCACGCTATGACTGAGGTCGCGTCTGCCCGTCACGGGTAACGGCAAGTTGGAATCTGAGCCAGCTAGTCCTTGTAAAACATCGAAACTCGTTCTTCTTGCTATTTTTGTAGGTGAAGACCTATTTGGCGTTGTAGAGCGAGCGGAATAGGATGAAGGCGGAGGAGAAATTAAATTTGACGTTGAACTTGACATTGAATCAGATAAATTAGAGTAAGGACGTGGACCACGGAGAATATGATTCTCCAGGTCAGTTACTTGGGCCTGTTGCTGTCTTATACTGTGTTTTAGGGTTGCCATCTGGTTTCGTACAGCGACTAAGGTGTTGTGTATCAGGCCTTCATCATAAGGGATACAATATTGTACTAACCTGGATCATCGAGGGAAAGCGCAGGACTAGGAGCACGTACTGAGCGGCCAGAGGATCTTGATGAAGGCCTTTCGTATCGAGAGGTTGGTGAAGAAGAAGAAGCACCACTGAAAGACATCTACAACAGGGCCAGAAGGAAAATCCAAAGTTCAACAGCGGTCAACTGATGTTGGTAGTCCGATGAAAACAAAGTAGCTGTGGGAAAAAAAGCCTCTCTGCTCCGGACTGCCATGTTAATTCGCTCTGTTCGTGTTGGTACTCGTTGTCTAGCTAGACAATCTTTTCACCATTCAGCACCTGTAAATTGCTTATTGCTCAACAAAAAACGCGTCTCAAGTGGTATCAACCTTCAAACAATTTCGCAACTTTTCACACTGACAAATATAGTTTTCAGTACTTCACGATGTCTCCAGAGAGGTTATTCTACAGAACCACCTTCGAGTCCCAACTCAGAAGTTTCTTTCTCTCCAGAGAAACTTTTGCAAGCTTTAGAAATGATGGCCGATTCGTGTCTCTCCCTTCCACCGATTCCTCCAGGTCAAGACCAAGAGAGTTTCTGGCGAGCATATCTACTGGCCAACCAAATCGTTATGTATCTAGCTGCAAGACCGCCAACAGAGGCGGAAACTTTTGCCTCAGTGCGTGTCCAAGAACTTCCAGCCTGTAACGATATGTGTTATTCATACCGTAAAACTGTCAGATATTCCAATCCGCATCTGTGCCTGAAAGCTCTGCCATTGCAAAAGGACGTATTGGAGTGTTCAGAATTACGAAACAGATTGTCAATACCATGCGCGATATTCCACCAACATCGTCACTGAGGTCTTCTTATCCAGAAGTCTTCCAAACTTATGGGGCTTTACAAAAGATATACAATACTTATGTCCCCGCTGAAGAGGATGTGAATGATCTAGATAGATGGTCAATGTTCTTTGTGGGTCTAAGGACGGAGTTGGTCGAGTTCGCAGTACGGATCGGGATGGTTGTTGAAGGATGGGAATCCGCGGAACAACAAAGGAAGAAATGACATTCGTGAGTGCGCCTCGGAGGGTAAATCTGATGAGTTGCTTACAGCTCTCAATTCAGACGAATGTATACCATTAAAGGTACATATACCGAGCTTGGTAGTATCAGTACGTGCTCACCTTTCTGTTGTTCGGCCGTGTTTGATGTCAGCGTTAGAAAGGCTGTATGCCACTCAGCGGAATTGAGCTTTTTTCCAGTAACAAAACGCTACCTATACACATATGCATATATTCTCTTACACATTCCCCTCTGTCAATCAGGTCGAACAATGAAAAATCATGCTTATTTTCCACCAGGAAGAAAAACTCGGAATGATCCAATGTGAGATCGTTCCGATTCGCCATCAGCAACTCTTTGTCCTGGTCACATGCCGAGGCTGTATTAACTCGATTTCGCTTCTCTCACTCTCACTTTCATGTTCCCCGGCTTGTCGTAGTCCTGTATGGTAGCAGCTATGACCTCGCAACAAAATCCGCCAGGTATCAATTTGAGCTTCAAACAGCTTATACACGCGATTTTGTACAAGTGCAAATATGCAAAAAACCAGTGAGTTCTCTTGCAATTTCAAAGCTGTAAATTTGATCCCGCTTACCGAAAGGTTACCAGGCTCGTTGTATTACCGGAATCAGAGGTGTGTGATTATTCATTTCCTTATTGCTCTCTTTACTTACGATTACTTTCTGTTACAAGCTCGATGGACTGGATCGAAAACTCCAAATTGCTTCCTCCGCTGTACGAGGATGCCGGAACGCTTCCAAGAAAATCAATCAGCTACCGCCTGAACTCCTCTCCAATATCATATCTGGCGCCCAAATGCACCTTACGAGCTTTCTTCCTGATATAACTGCTTACGAAGATCACGGGAGAGATTGGTATTCCCTCCTGCACGTCTGTCGCCATTGGCGCGGAATCATCGCTCGCTCACCGACACTGTGGTCGACAATAGACAACACATTAATCGACTCAGAAGACGAGAACAACAAGAACAACAAGAATCATGTCGCACATGAGCGTTACTTGTATCGGTCAGGAGCAGCTCCTCTCACGGTGTATCTCGGTCTTAAAGATACGAAGATACGAAAAAAACCACTTGAGGCATTACTAAAACACGTCGCACGGTTCAGGGAACTTCACGTTATTGCCGAGCTTTGGGAAGATCCATCGACGCCAATATATACCCTCTTCGTGGACGCAGCACCGACTCTAGTCAGCTTGACAATCCGGACAGACGGGAAAGACGTAAATAACGGCGCATTGCCTCCAATATTCGCTGGAGAGATGCCTTCCCTTAGGGAACTAACCTTAGAGCATTTCACTGTCTGGCCCACAACCTACTTCCACAACCTTACCTCCCTTTCCCTATCGGACCAAGCCTTCAATCGTCCAACCACACTCTGGTTTCTTGACTTTTTACAAAACTCACCGATGCTTGAGACGCTGGCTCTGGTACGCGCCGGTCCAACACTTTCTGCTAACACGGATATAATTCCTGCCACAGACCGCATTGTGCGTTTGCCTCATATGCGTCAAGTAAGCCTCGGAGGCTGGCCGACGACATCTACCGTATCCCGTTTCTTGACATACATATCCCTCCCGCCGGAAGCCGATGTGTATATTTGGGGCTCAATCTTTTCGAACCCCGACACCGACCTGACGGCGCTGCTCCCTGCAGATACAACCAATCTACACAACATCCAAGGAATCACCAAGTGGTATCTGACTCACTACTCTGTTGCTCAACCAGGGGACCTGCTATACGTTCCTTTCACAGCAATCGTCGGGTCTTCTCATGCGTTGCACAATTATGGTGTGTTCCGTTCCAATCAGTTGCTAGCAACACTTCCGCGATACCCGCTGCATAACGTGACATCGTTCGTGCTCCGAGATAGCTCGTACCAAGCGAATAGATTCAAGACGTCGGTCTGG